AATCGATTATAATCGATTATTAAAATAGTTAACAACTTTTTTAGTCATCGATTAGTTGTTTAATAATCATATTTTACCGCATAAAGTCTATTTTTTACCACAATCTGAAATCGGTTACAATCTGTTAAATTTGCCGCCAGTGTGTGGCAGTAATGAGCCACTGATCTACCAGTGGAGCCGTCGAAGAAGAAATGAGCCAATAAGTGCCCTCGGTTTTCATGACGTATCACGTTACTGACGCTCATCTTGCTGTGAGAGATGGCGGAACAAAAAGAAATACGGAGGAAAAATAGAAGCGACAAAACAAGAGAAACCCCGGACAAAAACCTCACGAGTATTGGAGCACTTCACTGTAGATGCTTTTAAAAGACGGGTGACCTGCAAAATATGCAAAAACCATGGCACGACGGAAGCACGACGTCCCTAAGTGAACATTTGAGACGAAAACATGGGGGCTGATGCAGCAGAGGAAAGTCCGGTGAATCCGGTAAGTAAAAGAAAATAAACAAGCTAACGCAGATCAAATTTGGGAGCTGAGTTCGTTATAGTGGATGTTAAACATGTTTTTTTTTTTTGCCGCGTCAGTCCACGGCGTTCTACTTCTGATTGACTAGATGCAATCGTGAATCTCCTCCGTGTTGTGAATCATGCGCTTGCCAAATTTAGCACGTCTGTTTATAAGAATGTTCTCGTTAAGAGAAAAACGGCACAAACCCATAACTATGTTCCTCATTCAAAAAAGGACAACTCCGCGGAGAAAAATATACAGACGAGCTGTGTCCAGATGAATATAACGCGGCATAGTTGTACGCTTTCAATTTTTAAATACAGGAGAAATTCAGAAAGTCCTTTTTTTTACTATTAAAAGGCTGTTTTACTATCTAACGCTGTAAAACACCTCACAACGCATTTTTATCAAAATAAATGATCACTGTATATTGTTAATTAATTCAAATAATGTAATATTGATTTAGTGTTGCAGTGTGTGTGCTGCTTTATTTTATATGTGTACTTATGTCAGTCTATTTGTATTTCTTATGCAGAAAAAAACAAGCAACGATGGACAACTACATGGGGAACAAGACACTCACCCCCCAGCAATGTATACCACTTACAAACTCTATTCTAGATTCTGCATTATTTTTTATGGAATTTGCCTCTTATATTTTGATGCCAAAAAATTATTCTGGACTGATATTTTGCACTGTTTAGCTCATTTTACACCGCTGACTGTGTTCATGTGCAATAAAATAGATTGCAGTCAACTGCACAATTCTCCTATGTTTTTCTTTTTCTTAACTGAAATGTATTCATCACTTGTATAGGTTCAATAGCTAAACAATAACAAACCGATTAATCGATTACTTAAAAAAATAATCGACAGATTAATCGATTATGAAAATAATCGTTAGTTGCAGCCCTACTCCAAGCCCTTTCAAGGACTCAGCCAGAGTTTTGGCAGTTTCGGAACCGCTGGAGGAGATAATGCAAAGAAGGATTCTCCAGAGAATCAAGAAAATGATGGACAACCCTGAGCATTCTCTTCATAAGACTGTCCGACAACGGAAGAGTGTATTCAGTCAGAGGCTTCTTCAGTTTGGCTGCAACACTGACCGCTACTGGAGATCCTTCCTGCCAACAGCCATTGTAATATACAACAACTCTTTGATGACTTGATTATTATTATTATTCTGAGCTACTACAGCAATCAATTTCCCTCTGGGATTAATAAAGTATTTTTGAATTGAATTGAACTGAATTGTTAAAAAAAACTGGTTGAATCATAAAATAATACACCCCACAACTAAAACTATTACCTACAGTTTTGACCACTTCTGCGGTCTTCTTCAGAGCTAGCGGCTAGCTGTGTAGTGGAGTTGCTAATGCTAACGGTTAGCTTCTACTAGCTGTGACGTTCTCTGCTGTTTCCTGGACGCTAAACCAACAACAGCCTTCCCCGCCGTGAGTCCAGATGGGTGAGTCCATGAATGTTATTGACAGGGTGATGTAGATCTGTCAGGATTTTCTAATCCTAGAGTTTCACCGTCTGTTTCCTATCAGAAGCTAACGCTAATCTGCTAATACTAATCTGCTATACTACAAAACACTCCCACTAACGTGAGCCATCAATTGCAAACAAGCTTTGTTCATTTTCACTCACAAAAATGTGATTTTCCTACCACCCCCCACCCCATTTTCATGTTCAGCTTTTTTCTGGAACTGTGCTGCTCTGGGAAGTTGCATGTTGGAGTAGCTCTGTTGACTATATGTAAGTTTTACCTTTTCTTGGGTATTTTTTCTTCTAGTTTCTCAAGGAAACTGTATTTTTTTGGACATTTTACTTTTCTGTTTCTGGTGCTGTGAAACTTGGAGGATTTTTACTGCTATTTTTTTTAGCTTTTCACACTTTTTGAGCATTTGTTATGATGTGTAACCATGGCAACAGTCTGGTTTACAATCGGGAGCAGCTGATTAGCATCGGAAAGGCTGAAATAATACCTCAACTGAAGCCACAAATCCCAAATGAGCTAAAACGCAAGAAGTGTGGGTGCAGAGCGGGAGCAAAACGGAGACAGAGAAAGAGGAAATTCAAACCATCTCTTCCATCGATCATAATGGGCGATGTGAGATCACTGGCCAACAAGATGGAGGAACTCCAAGCCCTTTCAAGGACTCAGCCAGAGTATCGGCAGTTTCGGAACCGCTGGAGGAGATAATGCAAAGAAGGATTCTCCAGAGAATCAAGAAAATGATGGACAACCCTGAGCATTCTCTTCACAAGACTGTCCGACAACGGAAGAGTGTCTTCAGTCAGAGGCTTCTTCAGTTTGGCTGCAACACTGACCGCTACTGGAGATCCTTCCTGCCAACAGCCATTGTAATATACAACAACTCTTTGATGACTTGATTATTATTATTATTCTGAGCTACTACAGCAATCAATTTCCCTCTGGGATTAATAAAGTATTTTTGAATTGAATTGAACTGAATTGTTAAAAAAAACTGGTTGAATCATAAAATAATACACCCCACAACTAAAACTATTACCTACAGTTTTGACCACTTCTGCAGTCTTCTTCAGAGCTAGCGGCTAGCTGTGTAGTGGAGTTGCTAATGCTAACAGTTAGCTTCTACTAGCTGTGACGTTCTCTGCTGTTTCCTGGACGCTAAACCAACAACAGCCTTCCCCGCCGTGAGTCCAGATGGGTGAGTCCATGAATGTTATTGACAGGGTGATGTAGATCTGTCAGGATTTTCTAATCCTAGAGTTTCACCGTCTGTTTCCTATCAGAAGCTAACGCTAATCTGCTAATACTAATCTGCTATACTACAAAACACTCCCACTAACGTGAGCCATCAATTGCAAACAAGCTTTGTTCATTTTCACTCACAAAAATGTGATTTTCCTACCACCCCCCACCCCATTTTCATGTTCAGCTTTTTTCTGGAACTGTGCTGCTCTGGGAAGTTGCATGTTGGAGTAGCTCTGTTGACTATATGTAAGTTTTACCTTTTCTTGGGTATTTTTTCTTCTAGTTTCTCAAGGAAACAGTATTTTTTGGACATTTTACTTTTCTGTTTCTGGTGCTGTGAAACTTGGAGGATTTTTACTGCTATTTTTTTTTACTTTTCTCACTTTTTGAGCATTTGTTATGACCCGTAACCATGGCAACAGTCTGTTATACAATCGGGAGCAGCTGATTAGCATCGGAAAGGCTGAAATAATACCTCAACTGAAGCCACAAGTCCCAAATGAGCTAAAACGCAAGAAGCGTGGGTGCAGAGCGGGAGCAAAACGGAGACAGAGAAAGTGGAAATTCAAACCATCTCTTCCATCGATCATAATGGGCGATGTGAGATCGCTGGCCAACAAGATGGAAGAACTCCAAGCCCTTTCAAGGACTCAGCCAGAGTATCGGCAGTTTCGGAACCGCTGGAGGAGATAATGCAAAGAAGGATTCTCCAGAGAATCAAGAAAATGATGGACAACCCTGAGCATTCTCTTCATAAGACTGTCCGACAACGGAAGAGTGTCTTCAGTCAGAGGCTTCTTCAGTTTGGCTGCAACACTGACCGCTACTGGAGATCCTTCCTGCCAACAGCCGTTGTAATATACAACAACTCTTTGATGACTTGATTATTATTATTAGTCTGAGCTACTACAGCAATCAATTTCCCTCTGGGATTAATAAAGTATTTTTGAATTGAATTGAAGTGAATGAACAACTTGAGGTAAGTTTGGGAGTCAGGGACACTAATCAGAGGCTGGCGTCCAGCTAATAGCTAACGGCTTCCTTGTGTTGGACATGATGACGAACTGACAAATTCGATGTCTTTTGATTTAATCGTTAATTATTCAAACTAACAAGTACAGCAACGGTGTAGCTATTTTCTATTTCTTAGTTGAATTAGCAGACTCCATGCTTCCAGGGCGCACTGCTGCCCCCTGCTGGTTCTTTCAGGTTAGTCATAATCCAAATGCGTATGTCCCCAAACAGCTACTGTATTTTAAGATGGTGGATGACCATGGAGCGTCGACCACAGTTTATGTATTTAAAACTGTATAATTTCAAGTTGAGAGGAATATTTGGAATTGATGTTGGTGAGAAATATTCATGAAAAAGGACAAGTTTGAACTGGAAACAGGATTTGATGGTAAACTGGTAAAAATATGACACACTGGGGCTTTAAAAAATCCCTCAAAATAAATGTTACCAAGAACATCTTGATTAATGGAAATCTAGGCTGAAAACACATGTCAACAAAGATAAAATAATCTTGCGTAACTTATTATTATGCATATTTCTATAATTGTATAATCTATAAGGGGTATATTGGGCAGAAGCTTCATATAAAACCCTTGAGCTTTTGACTTCTTGACATTTGGACTTGTTTTTCTATCTTACTTTGCTAACTGAACTAAAGTTAAAAATTAAAGCTTCTCAAATATGCGTGGACATACGTAGATGATTTAAACTGCACCACGCTGCAACACTCACCTCCTTGAATCCCATCCTTATGAACCAATGTTGACACAAAGTTGTCCACTTCCTGATATGGAGACGCCAGGCAGCTGGAAAACGAGCCTGTTAATGACGTAACAAAAATAAATGTATACTCACAAATCAAAGTTATTCAGACTGAACTGTAGTCTGAATTATCAACAACATTTAAACTAGAGTCTGATTATCCATCAGCTCCTCCTAACCAAAGTTATGTTTCAATAAAGGAGGAAATGTTTTTTTTAACCAAAACCAAAAGATCATCTGAAGTTATACAAGTTTGTTTTGAAGGATTTGCAGCAGAGTCCACCTAACAGCCAAGCAGACTGCACACTGACACATCACACCTGTGTGAACAGAGCAGTGAGGTAATCACGGTTACCTGGATTTGATGCCGATTCCTGCTGACAGCGAGGAGCTGTGGTTTTAGCTTCATTTAGTTCTGAGGCGTCCCACGTAAGAATCCTCTGACCTGTAAAGCTGATAGACAAGAGTCCAAAATGACCCGTTCAAAGCTGAATAAGTGCTGAGTTAATGACGCGTATATGTACCTGACGTTACACACCAGAGACGCCAGGAAAACACTTTCCTCAACACCGATGCCTTTCTTAGACGTGGAAATGAATTCGTTGTCTTCTGCTACTGTGAAAGCCGCGTTCTTCCCCACTTTTGAAGACTTGTAGAGCCGGAAGTTTCTGTTCCTGGTGTAAACGCCTGTTTACCAATATGTACAGGTGATGTATACGTGAACGTTAGCATAAAGTATTCTGACTAGCAGAACTGCTGAATGGCTATAAGAACATATAACAGACTCTGGTTTTATTTACCGAGATCAACAAAAGAACAGTGTTGACCGTCCTTGTCTTTCACCAGGAGGAAGCTGAGATCTCGCTCTTCCTTCTTAACTCTCTTCATCTCTGGACTCTCCGTCATCTCAGAAACATTTGTTCTGCAGCGATCACAACAGGGAGAACAGCTACACAACATGCTGACGAATATAAACTTTTATTTTGACAGGTCCTAAACAAAACCAACCGCCTCTCGTTTCCAAGCCAGCTTTCATCTTTGATTTTGTTCATGATGGGGTGAAGAATAGCAAGGATGAACCTGCCTAACAAGACAGAATCAAATAAAATTTAAAACAAACAAATGGATAAACAAACACGCGAGACCTGACGTACCAACATGAATGTTGTCTTTGAAAGCAGCATTTTGCAGGATGAAGATGAGATGTCGACTGAACTTCTCCTCTGTGCTGGAGTCCAGGTTTAGGACATTTTTCACTGAACACTTAATCCCGTAGACTTCCAATAACTTGCCACAAACATACTGCAAACGCAAAAATGAATGAATCCTTTTATATCCTAAATTCTTGTTTCTGGTATCAGCATTTATTATTCTCTGATCACAAAACTAATCAACAATAATGTCTAATATTTGGAGTAATTTCTTGCATTTATCTACGTAAACAGATTAAACTGCATAAGACTGTTTTAAAGTAAGTGAAGCCAGCCACTCAGTATAAATTAATTAGCATACGATGATCCTTCGTTATCGTGGATAAGTAATGTGTTGTACCTGGATGAGTAAGAACACCATAGATTTCCCATCAGCTCCATTGTTTGAAGGTTTGTGGAACTCCAGGTCAAAGTAAAGTTTACACACAGCCCCCTCTGGGATCACCTCATAGCAATGCATCAAGGACTGAGGGTAAGTCCTGGGAAATGTAGATGGCACAAGAGGAAACCAACACTTTATGTGCATACTCTTGCCTTTTTGGACAATAACCTAGAGCTACTTACCTGTAGTAGTGCCAGAGCTCGCTGTAACTAGTAACAAGATAGATCCGTTGACCCTCAGACGCATTTTCTTTTTCAAGAGCGAAAACATGTACATCCTATGATTATTTAAAGATCAAATGTCAGTTGATATACTTTCACACACTGAATCAAAACCGTTTAAGAGCCGGTGCAGATGTCGCACACCTCTTTGCAGCTCTGAGCGAAGCTGATGGCCATGCTTTGACGAGGGAAGAGTTTCCAGACGGAGGAGGGCTGGCACGGCCACAGTCGAGGTTTGTAGGGTGTTGTCAGGGGACGCTGCTGGAACGACTGAGCAAGCTGCTCTATCTTCTTCAGTCGGTCACCCCACTTGCTCATCTTTGAGAATTTAAAACCCACCTTCGTTGGTAATCTTGCCAGGATGGGATTTTTAGTGAAATCAGCAGAGTCATTCACACTGGGGAAGAAATCAAAAGCAACTGTGATGTAAATCTAGAGTTCCTGTAGCGTATCCCCTTCAAAATAATCACCCAGGAAGTAAAATGAACTCCATTTTTACTGCTAGCAGATGTTTGTAGCAAAATTTAGTCTAGATTAAGATTACAATGCTGGAGTAGCATAATCATCTAAAATGTTTAATCTGTTATTTGACTGTGATGTGTGGAAAACTCACCGACATGCAGATGAAAAAAAATCTTCATTGGGATAAACTGCAACGGTCACAACAATATAATGTTTCCAATTAAATTCAGACTTTCTAGATATAGTTTGAGTTTAATTACATTTTGAGTTTGGTACTCACGTAAAATTCCTATTAGGAAGAAGGTGACAGAAAACTTTTATAAATAGTCCAATATTGCCTGTTGTGAAAAACAAAACTTAGCTAGCTAGCTAGCTAGCTGCTAATGCTCGGTTTACTGATGTAGTATCATTCTTAGCTGCTCCGTTCCCGTTCTGCTTATCATAAACATGAAAAACAATTATTTG